AAAAAAAAAAAAAAAAAAAAAAAACCATCAGCAAAGAGGAAGTCAAAAAACCAACGGGAACTTAACATGCAACACAATTAAAAAATTAAAAATTTAATGGCAAACTTAAAAAAGTTGAGATTTATATACAATTTAGTACAAGATCAGAGTAATTAAGACTTTATTAAACTCTATAGTTAATATGGATATAGGGAAAAGCAAATAGTTGAAAAATTGAATAGAACCATATAAATCACTGCGCTTCAATTATTCTAGTGTGTAAACTTTTATAGTTTAATAATTTGTATGTGTGGCGTTTTGTTCTAGTTTTATTCTAGTGTAGGAACTTTTATTTTAATTTTCATTTGTTGCGTTATGGTTCGATTATTATTTTTCACAAGTTCGATAATATTTTTTATTTTTATTTTTTCAATTCCGCAATTCGTCTTTTAACTTTTGTTGTTTGCTATGCTTTTATTTTATTTTTATTTTATTTTTATTTATTTATTTATTTATTTTTATTAGTCTTCATTGTTCAAAATGTTTTAGTTTCTCTTTATAGAAGTGATTTATTAAAATTTCCTTGTTGGAATTTTTAATTGGAGTGTTTGTGTTGTTTCGTTGACTTCCATTTTGCGTGGAGGTTTTTAGATCACTCGGTCTAATAAATCTTTTGAAGTTTTATATCTTATTATCCTTTTAAAAAAAAAAAAAAAAAATTCTTGGTCAGCATAACCTTGGGGAGAATCGACTGTTTGGACATTTTTTGCAACACTTTTTAACTTATAATATAACTCGAATTTAGTTCAACTAAACTATCCACAATATTATCAACGAATCAATTATTTCAAATATTACATCAATTTTAATTCATTATTCGTTTATTCACATATCTTTAACTATCTACTATTTTCAATAACGATTCTCTTGCTTTTACATCACATCGACGTTCATTATTATATATAAAATATTATTTAAATACAAATCTAAATCTAACTCAAGTCCCCACTCAATAAACTTTATTTGAAATTAACCTACTTTTACTCAAAATTCAATCAAAATCGGTTTTGATTATATCCGATCGGCCCGTATTCTTGTTAGTCCACAAACAAAAATGTTTGAACTTTAGTAGACCATATATGCCAATATAGGGAAAAAAATACACCATTTGTCCCTAGTTGCACTTTCTAATTATACCTAGTTGCACTTTCGTCCTTTAATTATTTATGATTTACTTTTGGTACACTATCATTTTTTTTTTCTAATTTTCGTACAAATCAAGGTTCCAGTGCTATCGGAAAAGCTGATGTGGCTCCCACTTGGATCCTATTTTAATTGTTCTAATCCATGCGTTAAGAGAGCTGGGCAGGTTTAGTACCACATCAGGCTGGAAATTAGTAAATAGGATCCAACTGGGCGCAACATCAGCTTTTGAGGCAAAAAATAGCACCAGAACTTTGATTTGGACGAAAATTAATTGTAAAAGAAAAAAATGATAGTGTACCACAAGTAAACTGTAAACAATTAAAGGACGAAAGTGCAATCAGAGTATAATACTATAATTAGTGGACGAATAGTGTATTTTTTCCGCCAATAAAGTGTGTAATATAGATTAATAATTGTCTAGTAACCAATAAACCCTAATGGTTGATGGTGACTTTTTTTTTTTTTTTTTTTTTACAGGGACCTCCCGGTTTTTGGATCTACAGGGGAACCGACTAATCCGGAATCGAGCCAGGTAAGACCACAAGAGCGACAAAGCTCTCCCTCAAGAGTTTTAACACTGCTGCATTCCCAGGGCTCGAACTCGAGACCACTGGTCGAGACCACTGGTTAAGCTGGAAGAGACCCAAACCATCTCATCCAAACGCTTTTGGGTGGTTGATGGTAACTTTTACCAAACTGTGGAAAACTATAATGAAGAAAATAATTCAAACCTAATCCATAATTCAATTCTTCCCATAATATTAGCCGGGTCAGTATCAACAAACAAAGTTCTTTTTGGTTGAATAATTTTTACTATTTATTTTGTTTATTGACATTGAAATAACTAACATATTCACAGATGGATATAAAGCTATTGAATTAATTAATAGTTAGTTAAAATAAGAGATAGAGCAACCCATTTAACATATTTTAATTCTAAAAAAAATGAATATGATAGAATAAAACATTTTTTTAATGCAACAAATACACGGAATGAGAGTATTTGTACTAATAAAATTTTTATCAAGATAAAAAAAAAACCGACATAATTTTCTAATTGAGGTGTAAACAAATGAAACGTTCATAAACAAATCTTAGCTCGTACGTTTGTTAATCGAGCATAGATCGAACGGAAACCTAAGCTTGTTTATTAATCAAACGAACAAGAGCGCATACACGGACATTTGATAATGTTCACTAACAATAATTAAACTTATATTTATTTATTTATTAGTTACATGCTTAATATTATAATATAAATTATTTATGTTTAAAAATTTTAACTTTCAAGCTCAAACTCGAACTATTTGGAAGAGACCGTACTCAAGTTAACCAAATAACTTTAACAATCACGATTGCTGAATTATTCGATCACAAACGAGTTCGACTTTGACGAGCAATTTCACAAACGAGCTTGAACACATATTTTAGCTCGACTCATAAACAAACGGCCACAAACAATGTTCAGACATAAACAAACAACAATTCGAAACGCTCAAACTCGAGTCATTTGGTGGTTAGTATTAATTTACCAATAAATGTTTTCACAATTATCAATTAAAAAAGAAGGAGATAAAAAAATAAAAAAGAAAAATTGAAAGAAAAACCCTCACCAAACAACCCTATATCAAAAGCAACTCACACGCTCTCTTTCCTTAGCCGTCCACAAAGAGAGAGAGAGGTTCTGCAGATTTTTTTCTGAACATCTCTCATAATCTAAGATAATCACCATTTCTGTTGTTTTCTCAGCTGAGATCCTAATGGCGGTTTCCAACTTCGCCAGGGCATTTCCGTCATTCGCGTGCCGCTCAGATCCCGATATCTGCCGGCCGGAGGGCCCCCCACATGGATCCGGCTGCTTCTCTTCGAAGCCGAGGCCGTCGGTCCTCTTCGGCGGCGGCGGGCCTGCGGCTCACGGCTTCTCGTCTTCCCTGATTCTCAGGTTCCCGCCGAACTTCGTCAGGCAGCTCAGCAACAAGGCTCGGAGAAACTGCAGCAACATCGGTGTGGCGCAGGTCGTGGCGGCTTCATGGTCGAACAACCAGGGAGCCTCGGGTCCCACGCCGGCGGCCAAGGCTGTCGATGCAGCCGCGGCCGCCGTGGCGCCGGTCGAGATCGAGACCGGCGTCGAGCCCGTCGTCGCTGCGGATGGGGATCTGTCCGGCGGCGACGAAAATGTGCAAATCGGGGATTTGCATAATGTAAAGTACAATTCGTTTTTGAGTTCCGATGGGAGCATAGCTATTCATGCTGGTAAGTGATTGTAGATCGAAATAATATTAAATTTTCCCTGCTACTTATTGATTTTCTAGCTTCATCTTTTGTGCTTGTTTGTTGTTGCCTTTGTTCTTCGAGTGTGTAGTTCCATTTCTGCAGATAATGGTTTAAAAGCTTGTCATAACATGTATGGAGAGGGGTTTTGTAAAATTTGGTGGATTGTATCAGCTTATTGTCTGTGCTCTTAAAATTTTTTACCCCATTTATTCATGCGCCATTTAAGAGAAACATTTATTAAGCCATTGCTGGTTGCAAGCTGTTACTGAAAGTTCACTCAGAAATTAGAAATGCCCATACACTTCTTCTGAACATTTGCTTCCTAGTATTGGTTCTTTTGTCTTGCTAATTGTTCGTTTTGTACGCCCTTTCTGAATTCATTGACTTGGCCAGGTGAAAGATTGGGTAGAGGCATTGTTACGGATGCTATAACTACTCCAGTAGTTAATACATCTGCGTATTTCTTCAAGAAAACTGCTGACCTCATTGATTTTAAGGTATGTTCAATGATTTTGTCAAGTGTTTGCTGCTGTCTTAATCACCATTACATAATTGTGGATCGCCATTGGCAATCCGTAGATGACGTATATAAATCCATAGATCAATGAAACTATTTCGATATGGAGTATTTATTTAACTGCCATATAAATAGCATGCTGAGTTTATTGTGGATTAGAAACTCTTCTTTGTCCTCCCTTGCTAGAAACTTTGGGAACAAATCCTGTTAAACTAAACTGCCTATCCCTGGCCCAAAATCAGGATCTTAATGTTCCTTTTTGCAGGAAAAAAGGCGTGCAAGTTTTGAATATGGACGCTATGGGAACTATACTACTGTTGTTGCTGAGGAGAAGATAAGGTCAGTTTGATGTTGGCATTTCATCTTCTTGAGGAATATATTTGGGAATCTTGAATTAGTTGATGATGTAACCTTTTATTTCTCTTGAAATTCTACCAGTGCACTGGAAGGGGCTGAATCGACAATTTTGATGGCATCTGGAATGTGTGCCAGCACTGTCATGTTGTTGGCCCTTATCCCTGCTGGTGGGCATTTGGTGACCACCACTGACTGCTACAGGAAGACACGGATATTCATCGAGACTTTTCTTCCCAAAATGGGGATCACTGTATGATCTATCTAAGCCAGTCCTTTGAGCTTCAATTTCTATTTACATATAACGAAAAGAAAGAAAACAAAAAAAGAAAGAAGAATGCCTGAAAGAATGTTTTCACTTTGCTCACATGGAAACAGTAAAAGATGAGGAAGGAATTTCGAGAAATAAGCTATATATTTGGTGGGAGTAAAACTTAAAAGAAAAGACAATGAAAAGGGAAGAAAAAGGATGATATTACAAATTTTATTAAAATCATACTTTCCTAATCTTATATTTTACATGGCCTAAGTTGTGATTCATGAGAAACATACTGTCTTGACCTATAATGAAATGCAGGCTACTGTCATTGATCCAGCAGATGTTGCTGGTCTGGAGTCTGCTCTAGAGAAGAACAATGTATGTGCTCTAGTGCATTTTCGTTTAGTTATGCTTTACCTTTTCCACTTAAATAGTCAAATGGTTGCTTAGCAAAAGCACTAAATCGTTTTTTCAGGTCACTCTTTTCTTTACTGAATCTCCAACCAATCCATTCTTGAGATGTGTTGACATTGAACGGGTCTCGAAGCTTTGCCACAACAAAGGAGCCTTGGTGTGTGTGGATGGGACATTTGCAACTCCTCTTAACCAGAAGGCTCTGGCCCTTGGTGCTGACATTGTTCTACACTCTGCAACAAAGTACATTGGTGGACACAACGATGTATGATGGTTTTCACATGCAAATGCATTTCAATACACAATAACATTACTGTAATTAACCTGCTTTTTTTTGTCTGTATAGGTTCTTGCTGGATCAATCAGTGGCCCTGAGAAGCTGATTTCTACTGTCCGTACCTTGCATCATGTTCTGGGTGGTACTCTCAATCCAGTGAGTTATTAGATGAAAAATTATCTTGGACTCTTAGTATTCTCTTACCAATTGACTCTCTCTAACATATATGTAGACAGTAGCTCGATTTATCATTTGAGACCTATTTGTTGTCCTTTTCTATCAGAATGCCGCATATCAGATCATCAGGGGCATGAAGACGTTGCATCTTCGTGTACAGCAACAAAACTCAACAGCACAAAGGATGGCGGAGATTTTAGAGGCACATCCTAAGGTATACACAGGCTTAAATTATTTTTCCTATTTGTTCATAGATGCCCACAAAAATGTTTGTTTTCGTCTAAATTCCTACTCTCAAATTTACTACATCGAGGAAATCCTTGCCACTCCTTGTTGCTCTATAATGATTGTTTTTCATCAATCTTGTTGCAATAAGCTTTATTCCATTTTTTCCTTTTCACTGTCAGTTAGATTCTCTATATGGCATATGCTGCTTTAGCTGTATATTATGTTGCTGAAATTTCATAACTGTGTAATTTTACTACATTTTTCCAGCCCTTTTGTTTTCCATTATTTATTCCTACTTCCTGCTTTTGCCCTCAGCGCAGATCATATTCTTTACCTGTCCTATCATGTCCAGCTTCTTGTAACTGTAAAAGTTTATTAAGTACAATCTTTGCTTTTCTGAATATTTGGGTTACCCTTTACTAATGATTTTCGGGAAAAATGGTTCACAGATTAGGCACGTGTATTATCCAGGCCTGGCTGGTCATCCAGAGCATGAACTTGCTAAGAAGCAAATGACCGGTTTTGGTGGCGTTGTCAGTTTTGAGGTCAGTGTATTCCTAGAGTTCCATTTCGTGTTCCCTTCATGAAGCAATTAAACCCGAAAAACCAAAAAAAAAAAAAAGAAAGAAATTTCATCACAAACAAATTTGATTTTTCAGGTTGATGGCGATCTCATGGTGACCGCCAAATTTGTCGACACCCTGAAAATTCCATACATAGCTCCGTCTTTTGGAGGCTGTGAAAGCATTGTTGACCAGCCAGCCATTATGTCTTACTGGTTAGTCATTTTTTTCTAGTTATTACTAAAGCTTAGAATTTTAAACACTAGCGGTTCATTGTAGCTGAAGTTAAAAATATTTTATTGCTCGGCTCAAAGCTTCAAATCACTCTTTCTTACTGACATAATAATTTTTCCATTTCTTGTATTAAAGCTTAGAACTTGAAAAACACGTGATTTGTTGTAGCTGAAGCTAATAATGTTTTATTGCGGCTCAAAGCTTCAAATCACTCGTTCTTATCGACATTATATAATTTTCCACGCACTAACTCGAGTTATGCCATGAATTTGATTCGAAACAGGGATCTTTCCCAATCGGAAAGGGCCAAGTATGGGATCCTGGACAATTTGGTCCGGTTCAGCTTTGGAGTCGAGGACTTTGAAGACTTGAAGGCCGACATTCTTCAGGCGTTGGACGCCATATAACAACGCGCTCGTCTGGTCTGCTGCTAAAACGTTTTGTTGTTTGTTGAACATGAAACTTTATTCTTGTATTTGGCTGAAGAATGGTCCATCAGTGAATGCACACTATCATATGTTATCTTTTAATGCAGTTCTCATTGGCTGATTCTGGAAAGCCTCTACAATAGTTTTTTTAAAAAAAAAATGAATCTTTTTTAAACATGCTACTTGTGAGTCGTGCTCTAACCAAACCGAGCAAGTTGGACTTGGGCATTTCGAGCGCGTGTTCGTTTGTCTGTTTTTCGAGCAAAAATTTGTGTTTGAGCTTGTTTTGTAAATTTGAGTTTTCTTTTTGGTTTAATAATTCATATGATAGTTCGATACTTGTTGATTTATCATTATAATTTATAATAATGTACATATAGATTTTTTCTACTTCCAAATTTCCTACTCAATTTTATTCTCAATTATTAGACTAGAAAGAAAATTCATTTTTTTTTGAGCAAAAAAGCGTTGTTGGTCTTCTCCTTCCTCTTTTCACCTTTTTTGGGCCATCGGCCATGCCCATAACCTCCATCCATAGCCTGATCCGAACTCATTCTTTCATCCATAACCGTTTTTCTACTGTACCCTCATCCATACTCGGATTCGGGCTCCACATACTCCGGCCGTACCCGAATTCGTACCCTCATAGTCGGCTCAGGTCGTAAATTAAACAAGAGTTGGAGTTTAGCTAATTTATTATTATTAACGGTCCGAGCTCGAGCCTGAACGATTGAAGCTATAGACATTATAACAGTTTTGTCTTTTCAAACTACAATAGATTATGTAAAATTTTCTCCTTCGAACATTGACGAGTTCAGCGGAGTCCAACCGAGTTCAGGAGTTACTCGTTTCATTTAACAACTCAAGATAAAATTTATAATTGTTTTGAATAAAAATGAATATTTATATTTAATAACTCGTTTCGATTAACAAGTCAAGATACAACTTATGAGAAATGCTACGGTCCCGTTACGGTACCATCTCGTCGGGTGTTTTAACCGTTAGATCGTCTATCTTATCTAACTACATGTGCATTCAATGGTTAAAACACTCGATGGGATGGTACCGTTACGGGACCGTAGCATTTCCCAAAACTTATAATTGTTTTGAATAAAAATGAATAATTATATTTAATAACCATGTTTTTTACCTTTTACTTTTTGAAATGATACCTTATCCCTCTCTTTTGATTTTGAGGGATCCTTCATATTGAGTTAATATTAATGGACGGAAGTTGATAAAATTATTCCACATCCTTTCCTTGTGCCTGCGATTAGTGTATCACATATTCTTTTCTTGTGCTTGCAACGCTTTATAGAAGTTATATTACAGGGAAATGCTACGGTCCCGTTACGAAATCATTCCGTCGAAGTTTGTAACCGTTAGATCATCATGTAATCGTCAGGCCAGTTTGTTTCATAACGAGACCGTAACATATTGTGTAGATGTTAATTGCCACCTTATATATGGGCAATCTTGATGCTGCTTAAGCAAAGTATCGGGTTCGAGTCCTTGTGGATGCAGAAAACCCTTGTTGGAAGACTCACCCACCATTGCCAGGTGTGCAACCCGAGTCGACCAACGATTAGTCGGGGCATAGCTCCAGATAATTGGATGGCTACAAAAAAAAATAAAAATATGGGCAATTTCATTAAAATTCTTGTTTGCTATTAAAAAAGATAAAAAATAAGACAATCCTATATTTCAAATACAATTTCCCTAATTATTAGTCAACATTAAAATCTTATCGAATCAAAATTAGTTCAAAATTTCCAATAATCCTATCACAAGTGAGCCCCTAAAATTAACCTTTTTTCCCCAATAAATTCAATGCCATACCTTCACCATTTTTCACCACACTCCCTTTCACACACACACACACACACACTCTCTAACACTCAGTCCCCAGCAGCACTTTTGCCCCCATTTTCTTCATGACAACCAGGATAATCACGGTGGCGCAGGGCGGCGCCGGCGCCGACTACGCGACCGTGCAGGAGGCCATCGACGCGGTCCCCCTCGGCAACACGGTCCGGACGGTGATCCGCGTGGCGCCGGGCGTGTACCGGCAGCCCCTGTACGTGGCCAAGACCAAAAACCTAATCACGCTCGCCGGAATCTGCCCCGAGGACACGGTGCTGACGTGGAACAACACCGCCGCGCAGATCGAGCACCACCAGGCCTCGCGCGTGATCGGGACGGGGACGTTCGGATGCGGGAGCACGATCGTCGAAGGGGAGGATTTCATTGCTGAGAACATCACTTTTGAAAATTCTGCCCCGCAGGTACTCTATTTTTTTTTTTTTTTGTATTTATTTCGTTTTATCGTGTTTTATGGACTTGGATTAGCTGAAAATAGTGTCTCTGTTAAAAATGTCTGGTGATGTTCTCAATAATGTCGAGGCTCAGTTTGAGATATGAACGAACTTATGGGCAACTACAATAATTTTTTGGATTTGATGGTGTGGATTAGGTGGAAGTAGTTTTATGTGTTAAAAATGTCTGGTGATATTCTGAATAATGTGGAGGTTCAATTTGAGATTTGAACTTCTGGGCAGCTACAAGAATTCTTTGAATTTGATGGTGTCTGATGTTTTTTTCTTCATTTTTTATCAAGGGCTCTGGCCAGGCTGTGGCACTTAGAGTGACGGCTGACCGCTGTGCATTCTACAACTGCAGATTCCTTGGCTGGCAGGTATACATACGACATTACGCTTTTTTCGTTTTTCTTTTTGGGGAAATTGATCTGTTTTAGCTGAATCTATTGTATGCAGACTATGTTAGATGTTTCGTTTTTCTTTTTCGTGAAAATTGATCTGTTTTAGCTGAATCTATTATTTGGATACACATGTAAACTTTCTCAATTTTTTGTATTTTGTTTATATGAGTCATGTCATTATATCATAGAATTCACCATCATCAGAACATGATATGATTGAACACTAGATTGTAAAACTGCGCGAATATTATCAGAGGCATTATATGTATAAGATAAAAGAACTGCGTGGATAGAGGCATTGTAAATGACAACTTATGTTTTTGTAGTGGATTTTAGCTAATTTAGCCAGCCTTTTGTCTCAAACTTCTGATGTTAGGCCAGTGCTATCATTTCCTTAAATGAAGTCTTTGTTTTTTGCGAAAAATGAGGCTTTTATGTAGGTATTCCCCATGGTATTTTGCTATTGATGTTAATTATTGTCGTTACACACTTAGGAAATAGTACAGAAGAATTATCTTTGTATCTTGAAAGTACTAGTGGACATGGTAAATTGGTAGACTGAAATGATAGAGATTCTAACGATTGGTCTAATATAAGGCTCTTTAATTGTATGAAATGGTGTGTGTGCAGGACACACTGTATCTGCACCATGGGAAGCAATATTTAAGGGATTGCTACATTGAAGGAAGTGTGGACTTCATTTTTGGTAATAGCACTGCTCTTTTGGAGCATTGTCATATCCACTGCAAAGCTGATGGATTCATTACAGCCCAGAGCAGGAAAACATCCCAGGAGACCACCGGATATGTATTCTTGAGGTCTGTCGGTTTTGTGCACTCAAATTTTGCCTATTAGCTTTGACATAAATTTTCAATGGAGTATCATATTATAGGTGATTATGTTTTTACCTAACCTTCCCCCTTCCCCAAAGAATAAACGAAAAATAATAGGAGAACTAATAAATTTAACCAGCCCATGTGCGAGCCATAAGTCAATTTATTGAAATAGCTTTTGTGCAACACATATGTAGCATAGATGGAGCAGTCGATTTGTGAAGGATAATTATTACTAAAACATAGGCTATATCTCTGGGTTAGCTCTCCCGACTATTCTGTACCTGTTGATGCAGGTGTGTGATCACTGGCCATGGAGGGACAGATTACGCGCATCTCGGACGGCCGTGGGGACCTTTTGGAAGGGTAGTCTTTGCATACACATATATGGACGCTTGTATTAAGCATTGTGGCTGGCATAACTGGGGAAATGCTGAGAACGAAAGAAGTGCTTGCTTTTATGAGTACAGGTAAAACCGTAAAAGCTTCCGTATTAAGATTTATTTATGTAAAGGAGACAGTATCGAGTCATTTGCCCAGAATATACAGATCTCTAAGGAAACTCTTTGTATTTGAAATACTCAATCTTGTGGTGGTCCTGTTGCGGGGTTTGGTCTGAGAAAGTTGAAACAATTGCAGGTGTTTCGGTCCGGGCAGTAACCCATCTAAGCGCGTAACGTGGGCCCGGGAGCTGGTAGATGAAGAAGCCGAGCAGTTCCTTGCACATAATTTTGTGGACCCCAATCAAGAGCGTCCGTGGCTTGCTCATAAGATTGCTGTGAGGATACCATATTCGGCTTAGGATATGAAAGAACAAAAGGATTAAACAATAATGGGACTAAGGATACATCTTCTTATCTATCCATAGTTTATTTCACAAAATAAGGAACAACTTATTTCCAGCTTAATGTAGTTGTCTTTGTTTTTTATTATTATTATTATTATTATTATTATTATTATTATTATTATTATTATTATTATTAAACACTTATACTCACATAAATTACTTGTTTTTCAATTTTTACATAGCTATTGTCTTCTTTGTATTTTTGAATAAGAACTTCTCAAAATATTAGTTTCCTCATATTTTAACTACAAATTTTTTGTCAGTTTTCCATTAAAAAAATATTTTTAAATGCTATTCTTTTAACAAGACGAATATATACGTTGAAAAAAAAATAATAATCTGTTACTACATTCTTTAAAACAAAAGTTGATTAGTATTGATTCATCTTTAAAACAAAATATCACAAATTATATACTTTTCGCCCTCATTTTATGTGTTTGTGCAAAATGCAATTCTGAACAAGAAAAGAAAAATAATTTAGAAAATATAAAATGAGACTCGTCATCCTTTTTGTGGTTGATTTTGATACATCTTTTACTTTTAAGCCTGCAATTTTTTAAGAATTGAAATTATAATTTTTAAACCTACGTTTTTATGGTACTTCCGTACTTGTCATTAGGGGTGAGCAAAATCGAGCCGAAAGAAATCGAAACAAAGCAATTCGGTGCGGTGCGGTTTAGTTTTTGTATATAAAAAGATTTCGGTTCAGTTTTTATTTATTTATTCATTTTTATATATTGCGGTGCGGTGTGGTTATTGTTTTCCATAAGTTCGGTTTTTGATTTTGTGTTGTTCGGTGCAAACACCAAATTAAATAAAATGTATAGAAAAACTGAAAATCGAACCTAACCATGCATTTTGGTGCGGTTCGGTTCGTATTTTAGTGCAAAAGAATTCAATTCAGATTTTTCTAAGTTGCGGTGCGGTTCAGTTATTTTTTTGCTATGTTCGATTTTCAATTTTTTGCAGTTCGATGCGGTTTTTAAACAAACCGCACCATTGCTCACCCCTACTGGGTTGAAATGGATAATCCATAAAAAAATTAAATTAAAAAAAAAAATCAAATTATAAAGAGAACTCATAATAATATTCGTAATTCATAAAATAATAATAGAAAATGCCGGGAAAATGACAAAATGAAGAGTAATAATAAAAAAATGGAGGTGGAGATGCGGGGGATCGAACCCCGTGCCTCTCGCATGCAAAGCGAGCGCTCTACCATTTGAGCTACATCCCCGGTTGAATAATAATTGTTTTCTTATTAAAAACATCAACTTCAACAAAAAAAAACGAAAGATTAACATAGTACCGTACGTCCCTCATCGGCCGGGGCCGACGGCTCCCTCCACCTCGAGAGGACCCGACACTACCCGTAGACTTGCCGCCGATCTGGGCCGTGTCCAGGCCGAGGTCAAAGAGCTCCGGGCCGACCGCAAGGGTTTACGAGAGAAGCAGAGGGATGTCGACGGCGAGAACCCGGCGTTTTCGGGTCTCTGTCTGAAGAAAAATCCAATATATTTCAAATCTTGAGGCTTCAAATGAATTTATTTTGACTGATTTCTTACACATTTGCGAGTATATAATTCGAGAAGGTAGACGTAAAAAGGAAAATGTAGAAACAGAATACCAATCAATCAATCCTGAGTTAGTAGTACAAATGAAACATCTCTAAAAACCGCATGAAGATCGTAAAAACTCTCTCATTTTATCACCAATAATCGGAACAAGAACAAACACCATCCTTAAACGAGTGAAACCGATTCCGATCCCTAACAACAATCTCCCGTCCGTACACTCTCGACGCCACCTTCATTGCAGAGTGACAATCTCTGCAAATCCTCAAGTTCTTGAAAATATACAGCTGGCACCCGGCTTTCGTGCTCATTAAACCGAAACACAAAGCCAACTTCTCCGCATGAGAAAAAACCGCCCTTTCCCTTTCCTCACCCGATAAAATCTGGGCCGTAGGATCGGGCACATACCCTGCCAATTTCAACTTCATAATCATCTCGTCTAGCATCGAATATATCTCGTTTATCCGCGAATGTGACTTATCCCCCGCGCTAAAATGGTGAGCTTGCCCGTTTACATAAATAGTGCTTATCCCGGGCACTTTTCGAATTCCCCTTTCTCGAAGGTCCTTTCGGAAAAAACTAGCTCGACCCGAATCTCCCGACCGAGCGTACATGTTTGACACCAGTACGTGGTGATCGGTGTATTCCGGATGCGTTTGGGTCAAGTTTTGGACAAGCTCGTGCTGATTTTGAGCACTGCATGCCCCTAATAACGCCCCCAACACAACCTCGTTCGGTGTCATCGGCATTTCTCGTATTATACTCTCCGCCTCGGCAAAATTTCCCGAGCGGGCCAAGAGATCGACCAAACACGCGTAGTTTTCCATCGAGGGGTTCTCGAGGGCTCGGAAAAATTCCCGCCCCGAGTCTACAAGACCCGCGTGGCTACAGGCGGTTAGAACAGCTGTGAAGGTGATGTCGTTCGGTTTGGCTTCTCTCGACATTTTATCGAACATTGATAAAACCGTGGGGCCCTTTCCGTGCATGGCTAGCCCAGAAAGAATAGCATTCCACGTTACGGTGTTTCTTGTTTGCATGGAGTTGAAAACCCGAACGGCGGTTTGAATCCGGCCGCATTTCGCGTACATGTCAAGTAAGGTCGTGCCGAGTTTTACGTCAGTTAGGGTATCGAAATTTGATTTTATAGCATATGAGTGTACCCATTTTCCGATAAAAGAATCTCCCGACTGCGTGCAGGCGGATAACAACGAGCAGAGGGAAGAAGATGAATTTAATCGGAGCCCAAAACCGAACATCATTTCGGATAGAAGCCCGAAAGCCTCCCGAGTGAACCCATTTTCGATGTGCCGGGCGATTATAATAGTCCAAGCAATCTCATTTCTCTCAGGCATTTGATCGAACAGGTTGTTTGCACTCTGTAAACCCTCCCATTTAGCTACCCCCCACAACAGGACGGTCCAGGAAACTACGCTCCTCAAATTCGATTCGGTAAAGAGAGCTTTGGCGTGGGCCATGAGCCCGCACTTGGCATACATATCTATGGCGGAGTTTCGGGCCTTCACGGCGGACCCCAGGCCCGATTTCACCATAAAGCCATGGCACTGAATCCCGAACGAGCAGTTTCCGATCTTCGCGCAGGTGCTGAATGGAGAGACCATGGCGACGCCGTCGATCGGAATCCCAATCCTCCGCATGACGGCGAAAAGGCCGAGGGCGTCGGCAGGGGACCCGCCGCGGGCGTGGCAGTCCATGAGGGCGGTCCAGTCGGCGGCGTCTTTGTGGGAGATGGGGATTCGGTCGAAGACTGCGCGGGCGGAGAGGAGTTGGCCGCAGGCGGCGTACATGTGGAGGACGGCGTTGGCGAGGTACAGCTGCGGGGGGGCGAGGAGGCCGGCGGTGACGGCGGCGGCGTGGAGCGTTTGGCCGGCGAGGAGGGACGAGCGACGGGCGCATGATCTCAAGAGGGAGCGGTAATGGCGGGCGAGGGAGGAGGCGGTGGTGCAGTCGGCCGGCCATCTCATAACTTTACTGCCCAAATTTGAGCTTTTTGCAAGGCACAACAAAAAGAGAAGTCATTTCACAGTTCTAATCAGAACATTTCAACATGGTTAACAAAGAGGAAGATGCTAGTATTTTCCCTCCGAGTTTGTAACCGTTAGATCAACTATATGTGATTATTACATACATAATAATCTAACAATTACAAACCCGACAGACTGATTCCATAACATGACCTTAGCATTTTCCAAACAAAGGAACTAAAACTTAACCCAGTCGACCGGACTTGGTCGACCCTGTCGTTAACCCAACCCGATCAACATTTTAATTTATTTTTTTTTTGAATAAAGTTTTGTGTACAAGATATTTAGGTGGTAAATATTTAGAAGAGATGAGACTTTTTGAGATTTAAAATTTACATATAAATTGTTTATTTTTATTATTTTATATATTTTTATAAGACACAAATTAGTATATTATGTAAATGTAATTACTTGCTTTAAAAATTGATCATGACCCAACGATTGAATAAGTGAACCACTAGTCGAAACACAATACAAGTCGATTAGTGAAGCGAGTTCCGAAGCTATACTTTCGCTCAATATAACAATATCTTTATTTACTTAATTTATTTTTTGAATAGTCATTTTTAAAATAACATCGTACAACTAATTATAACCCAAATTTCGAATTACAAGTGTGTGAAGATTAGAAAGACAACATAAATAATCATAGGAAAAAATGTTTGTCTAATTTAGACACGTATTGGACTAACAAATAAACCGAATAACTTCAAGCTGCAGTTTCTTCAGTCTGGACGAGTACATTCCCATCAGAAACCGGCAAGCTACATCCAGATTTCGACTGTTTTTTCAACAAAAATGTTTGGGCTGGGCCAAGAACCAATCGGTCATGTCCACAAACTATGGAAGAAGCTAAAAATTTTGAGTTTGTGAATAGATATGAGATAATATGTAATATTTAAAATTGTTATGATATAAAAGTAGTAAAATAATGATGATAGATGATTGGTAGATAAAAATATCGTAGTCCCGTAAATGATTTGTAGATAAAAATATGTGAATTAAAATTGTTGTGACATAAAAGTAGCCAAACAATGATAAGATCGGTAGATAAGAATATGTGAATTGATGAATAATAACCTTTTTATTGGAAAAAGTTTAGTAATAATTGGCTTTTATTATTTAATTATTTTAATAATAATATTGAGGACAACAAAATTGAATTAGGCTATGTAAGACAAAATTGAACACCTATTACACCCTAATAATAGCACCAAGCTATGTAAGACTAATAATTAATTTCATACATTCATGCATGCCATCCTGCAAAGTGCATCTACATAAACTAGCAAAACTTGATAAAGGATTTACCAGATTTTCTAAATCCATAAGAAAACCACATAAAAGTGAGTTACACTTTTCGATGAAAAGGCTGGCGAAACGAGTACCGGAAGAAGAAGATTTCTACTCGGCATGAACCCTAAACAAGCTTAGGCTCATTTGCCGGAAACAATTATATACAGCATTTTTAACCGCTAAAAACGAAATGTAGTCCGAATAAAATTTCGACAAAAAATAAGAAACAAAAAAAAATTCAGAGTACGCGAAGCTGAGCAAGGAAAGCTGCACAGAGCTCAAGAAAGAGAAACTGTGGTCCCTGCACTCTTTGCAGATCGAGCAAGTATTTCTCTTCACGAGTCTTGTAAAGCTGGAAAAATAAAAACGATAAATATTCAAAACATATAATAATAATTATTATTATTACTATTAATATTTACGAAATGCGTGATACCTGCAATTCGAACTTCACGACACTTTGGGGCCTAACATTGGCCTCATTCTCAATAATAACCGAATCGCCTCCGAAAAAATTGTTGTCATGCATAGCACTGTTATTAAGTAACCCTTCGTGCTGACCAGGATTTGCAGGAGTCCATTTGCATTTCATGTTGTAGTGCCCAATCTTTTTCCAGTATACGTTCAGTTCTTGCAGAGCTTTGAGGACTTCAGTCATTATCTCGCGCGGGTGGGCTCGGGACTATCACGAAAAAAAAAAAATGAATGGGCATAAGTACCGTTATTACCAGCAATGGACTACACAGGGTAAAAGTATTTAAAAAAAAAACAAGAAATCGCAAGATTAGCAGATAACTGAACTGCTGTTAGACCGTTAGGAATATATATTTTTTTTAACAAATATTGCATACTTATCCTAAGAATATTTGAAGCCAGCCAGTCAAATATCATCATATAAACTCTATTGTTCGGGAGATACTTCCCATTAACTCAAATAAAGCATATCATTATTATTATTACTATTGTTTTTTTTTTTTATATCGGTAAATGTAGAATATCATTATTGGTTTAGAATAAAAGCAGATGACTAACCTGAAGTCCGAGTGCCCACTTACGGTCCGCTGGAATCTGCCTTCCTCCAAATTGTTGATAATCAATTACCCCAGAAAACCGCGCCCCACCGGGAGATAATAAAGGCTCGTTTTGAGTCATGCGGTTAAATCCAAGATCCTGAATATTGGGAATTATATTGATACCAACAATTTTCTTGATAAATTTATGGGATTATAGTATATAATGTATCTTGCATATTTTCCCTTTTAATATATACCTTTTCGAAAAGAACATTTTACACGGGGTGTATTTACTTAACAAATAAACCTTCTTCAGTATATAGTTTAAAAGATGGGTGGTTATTTTTTTTTAATCTCCCTTTTGTCTAATAAAATAATTAAACATCGTAAATATAAATAAAATATAGCTTTATTCTTTGACAAAATATAACAATGATGTACCATAGTCTCCTGGAATTCAGATCCAAGATAGCCATTAGAAACGCGAAAACGATTATCCAGCAGCAGATAGTACGTAACAGTACCCTGAAAAAACAGTCACGGTAAAAAAAGTTCCAATATCATTCATTTCAACACAAAAATGATTGAAAAAAAAGAAGAAAAGTTCACCTCGTTCTGAACCCTATTCCGAAGAGATTCAACTAGGGCATTCCTGTCGAATCCCATCTTAATCACTTCTTGAAGAATATCTTCATCAATCTGAACATGAAAAAACAGAACTTCGGCAAGTAAGGTATTTATTTACTTGGCACAAAATGTAATAATAATAATAATACTAATAATAATGCTAACATCATATGATATAAGGCCACATGTCATCGGGACTTCTGTTCATTAAGTATAAACATCAAGATATCACATTGCAAAAATCGAGAAAAAAAAAGACCTTTTTAGCTTGTTGGGTTGTATCTGGTGGTGGCACGGCTAAATACCGAGGGAGATGAGATGCGAACCAGGGGTGTGCACGAACTTCAGGAATAGTCATCCTTTTCATTGGATCAACTATAAGCATTCTGGGAATTAAATCTCTTGCACTAGCTGATAAATGACTTGGGAGTGTATATATACCACCCTAGAAGAAACAAAAAGTTGAGAGGGAATGACATTAAATATTTCAAAAAAATATGTAATATGTTACATTTTTTTCGCTCGAAAAATGATTACTATTAAAATACTCATGAATTAAATGATGCCAGTACTAAAAAAGCCGAACACTTTACGACACCATCAAGTAATAATGACCCGCCAAAATAATCAATGTACCTTAATTTTCTTAAAAAGATTGGGAATGTTTTCATCATCAAACGGGAGGGTCCCACAGAGAAGTGCATAAAGAATAACGCCGCAGCTCCACACGTCCACTTCAGGGCCAGCATATAATTTACCAGATATAACCTAACATATTATTTAGAAAACATTTAAATTAAACCTGCCTATTTTCACATTTCATTCTAGCATTCGGAAGATACTTGTAGCTCAATATGATCGTTTCCTATAATATAATTATAACTGAGTACCTCTGGAGCAGCATAATTGGGGCTTCCACAACTTGTCTTCAAGAAATGACCATCACGCATAATATTGCTCAAACCAAAATCAGCAATCTTCACATTGTGCTTTGAATCCAAAAGTAAGTTTTCGGGCTTCAAATCTCTATGAACCACCATATTCCTGTGGCAGTATTCCACTCCAGATATGATCTGTAAATGCAATGTAGATAAAGGAAGCAGCTTTGAACTCTAAACACAGAAAAAAAAAAAAAAAAAAAAA